TTCAGTTAAATAGTAAAGCAATTACTAGCACTCTTTCAAAGATGCATTTCCCCGCATAAGTGACTGATTGAATACTGCTCTCATTCTCTGTCAGGTATTTCAGAAAGGCTCTCCTATCGCCGCAGACGTTTCCAAAGCGATCCTGAAGCTATCAGAAAACGGAGAGCTGAAAACTTTGGAAGAAAGGTGGTTTGCTCCCTCACGAGAGTGCTCAAGCAGTGCAACTGACAATGATATAACTGAAAGCTTGAGCCTGCAACACTTCCGTGGTATCTACATTATAAGTGGTACCACTTCGACCATTTGTTTTCTCCTATTTCTATTTCGATTGCTGAAGAATTACCATCATCAACAAGACGGGGACAGAGGCAATGCAACTCCAAGTGATAAGAGTGTTTGGGAAAAAACAGTTACTCTAGCAAGGTATATCTATCATGGAGAGACTGTTATCCCAGGAGGATCTCCAATTTCTGCTCCTTCCCCTGATGTCTATGAATGGAACTCTTCGAGGAGGGAATTCACTAGTCCTGGAGACACTCCAGAGAATCTTCAGCCCTCACCACCAGCTGAAATTGAAGTTGTAAATATTCCAGATTTTGACGCCAAAGAAAACAGCAGTTAGGTCTGACACTATCACTCCATGTTAAGTGTAATTACTTGTGGCTCTAGTTTTGCATCTCACAGATTTACTGTGATTTGGAGATGTGCATTGAATCGGGCCTGCAGTGCCTTCTTAGGCCGGCGAGAACATATAATATGAATAGCAAGCTACAAAAGTAATCAATGATGTCTTTTGGTTCTGTGAATATAACTTGTAGAAAATTGATTGGTTGTAATTTTATTTATGTAAAATATATTTATTATTAATAAAAAATTTTATTTTTTTGAATATTTATTTATATTTAATTAATTAATATAATGTTTAATTAATTAATCTAGAGTAAAGATAAAGTTTATAAGAAAAAATATTTTGCAAAAAAAATTATAAAATTATTATAATTATAAAATTCTTATTATATCAAAATATTATTTCTAAATGTTTCCAGTTAATGTTTTATTAAGAGTAAACATTAATTAGAGTTATTGAGATCAATGTATATTATGTTTCTTTTTTTATGAAAAAAAAACAGTTCCTCTCGTAAACTAATACATAAAGAATACCTAGACCTAATATGTATATTCTTGTTATATAACATGTACATTGAATTGACCAGTAAAAGAATTCTCTATGGATAGATCATTTATGTTTATGAAATGACTCTCATGATAGTTGTGTAAGTGATCCATATATTCTTAATCACTAAGTTATTTTACATAGAGAATGTTATGCTTTGATCTTGACCACAAGTTGTACTAATTAAGGTTAACAAACAAGCAGATATATAGATTATACTATAAACTATATGAAGATATTTAAGTAATCAAGAGATGATTCATCATCCTATATGAATTAGAAAAAATAGTCATCTATTATCAAATAGTATTGATTAAATAGTATTGATTGTGAAATCATTGGCCAAAATGAAATGAGTTTTGAAAAAGATTTTTAAGATCATATTAAAATAATAAATGACTATATTGTTGATAATTAACATGATTTGACAAAGCTAATATATTACATACTACAATGTCTAAATCAAAATATTCTTAATAAATGAATAATAATTATACTGGGAAATTAATCATTGAAAAGTTAAGTCAAACTACTTATAACTTTTCTAATATTTAGAAAATCATGACATATTGCTAAATATTGTACTTCATATTTAATTATAAGTCAATCAATTGTTGAATTAATAGTAAGAATGAATAATAATTATACTGAGAAATTAATCATTGAAAAGTTAAGTCAAACTACTTATAACTTTTCTAATATTTAGAAAATCATAACATATTGCTAGATATTGTACTTCATATTTAATTATAAGTCAATCAATTGTTGAATTAATAGTAAATTAAGTTATTTAATTTATCTAATCTTGTTTTATTTATGATTTGATTTATATTTGGATAAACTTATTATAAAATCTAATGAGTCACACACATAATAACCATCGGTCATAAATTAAAATGGAATGATTAATCAAGCGTGATTTGATTGTAAATAAATTTTAGAAATTAAGAACTAGAACATAATTAATATAATGGATTACAATTCTAATCCTGGAAAAAATCAAGTAGGGACTTAATTGAATAAATTTATAAGATTATCCTAAAATAATATTTGTGATATTATTTAAGGGGTAAATTGATAATTTTCATTTATAGGGTTTTTAAATTTTTTTTATAAATAAAATATTATGCCTTTTATTTTTTAAGAAATAAAAAGGTGTGGAAAGTACAGTACAAAAACATCTAAAACAAAAAACAAAAAAAAAACAAGAAGAATTCATTTGCACTCTAAAGTATATTAATCTCTCACTCCTAAAAGGATTTAGGAGATTTTTCATTGGTGGTTCGTATGGATTGTCATTAGAGGTTAGACACATGGATGGCTTGTAGTTTGCGACAATTCAGCCTTGAAGCAAATATTCAAAGTCGAAAAGAACATCTAATCTTTAAATAATATTCGCATAAACCCTAAATCTGTCTAACAGGATACTTGAAACTCCTAAAAAATTTTAGATCTATCATTTCTGCTGCATATATATGTTTTGAAAAACCCAACATTTTAACCCTCCTTATAATGTTTAATCCTAAAGGATGCATGCAGTATAAATTTCATGATGCAGAATTCACTTAATTCATCTTATTAGTTTGACTCACCTAAAATAAATGTCTTTAAAATTAGAGAATTCAATGAACCATAAATAATCACTTAACCATCCCATCAAATAAGTAGAAGATTCATTAAGTTAAGAAACTTTACCCTTCTATAATGTTATATGCTTTTAATGCCAATAAAAAGTAAAACATGCAATGATATTTAACATTTAGAAAACTGCAAATAGAATGTTCCAAGCCAAAATATCATAAGCATTACCTCATCTTGGACCATCACAAGAAAACTATAACCAAAATCATTTTTATCTTGCATTAACTTAGAACCACAAGCATCTAAAGCACCTTATGCTAAGATCAATGTTATTGTATGTAAACTTAGAGCAATAGCATGATAGATTGGCTAAACTAAGGAAAAAAATAGCATTGAAATTTATTTTTATTGACCAATTTGAATTAGCTCCTTCCTGAAAGCGGCATACAACTCTCCAAGTGTGCTTGTTCCCCCTTTCTTTCTTACCATGACAAGTCTTTTTGAAATAACTCCAACCTATAATTGGCAAATTCATAGGTTTAATTCCTATTAATTTCATACCAAGAGGACCTTCCAATAAATCTATTTGAATTAGCTCTATATTAATGGAATTTTATCGTCCATACATAACAAATTGGTGTGGTATATTTATATTATAACATATAAACAATAAGAACTAGCATTCTTATTGAGACTAAAACTCTTTATATATAAGATTCAACAACTCTATATAAAGCACCCTGCTTTTATTTTTATTTTTTCAAGTCCTATTTCAAAAGTCTACAAGGAGCGATGAATCCCTAATTATATTGTCTTTTTTAGTTATAAATTGCCAAGGTGGAGTACGGGAAGGGCATAAGGAATTTTATATGAAACGGTAAAATGCATGGAGATTAAAAAAAACACCAACAATGAAAGCACTCTATTATGCTAACATTGAGAGACAAAAACTAAGGGAGCGAATAGGATTAGATACCCCAATAATCATAGCCATTAACTATGGATACTAAGTGTTATGCGTATCAACCCATGTAATATTGTAGCTAACGTGTTTTGCTTGGAGAGCATGTTCGTAAGAATGAAACTCAAAGGAATTGACAAGGAGTGCACAAGTGGTGGAGCATGTGTTTAATTCGATGCAAAGTAAAGAACCTTATTATGGCTTAACATGTGGTGAATCCTCTTGAAATAGAAGAGTACCTTCGAGAACGTAGACACTGGTGGTGCATGGATGTTATTGGCTCGTGCTATAAAGTGTTAGGTTAAGTCCGGCAATGATTGCAACCCTCGTGTTTAGTTGTCATTTTTGAGTTTGGAACCATGAGTAGGCTGTTGGTTATAAGTCAGAGGAAGGTGAGAATGACGTCAAATCATTATACCCCTTATGCCTTAGACACACATGTGTTACAATGGTTGGGACTAAGAGTCGTGATCCTGCAAGGTTAAGATAACTCTAAAATCATGTTCTTAATTCAAATTGCAAGGTACAACTCACTTGTATAAAGCTAGAATATTTAGTAATTTCTGATCAGCCATATAGTAGTGAATTCATTCATAGGCCACACATTACTTGTCACACTAAGAAAAGTTGGCTTATAGCAATTATATTATATTTACCTAGTTTGATCCCATTCTTTTAATGAAACTATTTTCTCTTGAATCTTTTTTTTTTTATAAACCCTTGTCTTTATTTAATTTAATTTTTAATTTAGCATTATCCCACATGGATATAATCAATCGAAATGCGCAAAGTTTTTAGTCTAAATCATTATATAGAAATATAAGTCTTTGGTTGATCTAAGTTCAGGTAATTTATTCTTTGTTAAGATTTTCTTCTGGTTAATCTTTGAAGTGAATAAAATAGAATCAATCTATAAAACCTTTTTTTTATCTTTTTACAAATCCTAATCTTTTTTACTGGTCTTCTAGAACTTGTCCATGATAAACTATTGTAGGGGATTTACTGTAACTATTGAATTTGAAATACGGTAAAGTAGCTTTGGGGTGGGGAACTATTTTTTTAATGGGTGTCACAATAGCTCTTTTTGAGGTATTCATATTTATTATTTTAGAGATTTATAATTTTTTTATTTTACCGTACAGAATTTCAATGAATTAGATTTAGCTCAGTATATTTTGGATGGCCCGTTATGACGTGTGCTTCTGGTTCACAGAAGGAAAGGGCATCGCCGACCAAGTTCGGTTGGAGAGCGATGAAATCCACGCATCATTATAAGAAGAGCTATGCTCCAGAAAGATATGTATCAACTATTAAATACTTTCTTACATAAACCACGAAGAAATACAAAGGGATTCTGAATAAACAAGCCTCCAAGTCTGCTGCTGAGTGACAATTACCAACACAAAATACAAGCAAAGCATGCCCCGACTAGCATACAAGGAATCAGAAGTCCTGCAATGCAACTTTGATTGCTAAATTAGTCAGGATTGGGAGGGAACTCAGAGCCCTAAATGGTTTCCAAAATCCAATCTACGGGGAGAAGCTCACAGGAAATTGGGGATATGATGGTGTTAGTCCACGACAAAACAGAAAAAGTCAGTTCCCTCTTATGTATATATCAATCTCATTTGACCCGAGAATCTTAGTGCATCACTGACTCCTGCTGGATATGCTTCTAGTACAGCTCAATCACAGCCAAATTCCAGTTCATCTTTTTTCCGGTGGAAATGCATCCAATTTACCAAAAGCCTCTTCCTCTTCCCCTTCCACGTCCACCCCACCCCCTGCCCCTGCCCCTGCCCCTTGGACCGCCTCTTCCACCATAGGATATACCTTCCAATGCCCTGTTAACAAGTTGATTTGGCAGGCTGCCAGCCCCACGGCCCTTTTTTGCCATGTTCCCAGAACCATTAGCAGCAGCAGCAGCAGTTCGTTTCACTCTGCACACAAAAATACATAGCCTAAGAACAGATCTGCTATTTCAGAGAGAGAGAGAGATCTGTACAGAAGAACAGGCTCGTTCAACTAACATAACATTTGTAGGCATTGCTATGCAGAAACTTTATGGGAGTGACTTTCACTTAATTTTTATGGGCAAATATCACTTCCTATAGTTGCCGAAGACACAAAGGGCATTGTCTAATCACTCACTCCAAAGACAAGAGCCCTGTCACTTTGAGTGACATTGTTATCACTCATTACAAAAAGTACCAACCTCATATTTTCATAAGCTTAGTCCACTAACAAAAATCCCACGATAAAGTACATTTAGCCCATCATTTTCTTGATGTCCATTTAAATCCTCAACCAAATCTATGACAGAAGACTCCATCATAACAACTAGGCAACAAAAAAAAATATCAAACAATTTCTAAATTTAACGCTGACGACAGAACATTTGAAAAAATGATAGGGGCACAAATACATTTCACTCCTTTTCCTATTTAATTAACCAAGATCATTTCAAACTTGCCAAAGTTTTTAATATAAAAAAAAAAATAGAACCAAAGACAAGAATCAGACATCTCTCATACCCAGCCTGGACGGTAGTGGAAGGCACAGAAGGTTTTGTTAATTCTTTCCAAGAGAGGTTGACACTCTTATCTCCAATAAATGATGGTACCTTTGAATGCAATGGCTGAAAATTGTAGAACAATATATGAGTTATTGATGCTTCGATAATCCGTAAGCATGGAATTCACTTTCTCAAAATTTCATTCTTTATAAACCTTTGTCATTGCCAAAATGTTATTGCAAGTACGCAATCCAGTTGTAGTGTTCTGTTTTTGTGTTTTCTGCACATTACAATACAAACATGTTTGTAAGATACCGCCATGAAAAGCTACATAGAAGACAATAAAATCTCCATATCCTGAGAAATTCACTTACTATGCTATCCTTTGCTTCATCAGACTTTGCAGCTGCCATTGCTTTGTTCTGTTCAGCCATTCCCTGAGTTAACTTTTTCATGGTAGCCCTGGTTAGATCTTCTACGCTACTCAACCTGCATCATCAGACACCAAAAACAATATGGATGGAGGACCCATATTAGAGCAACAGAAATATTACAAAGTCGCTAGGTTCAAAACCATGAAAACTGTTTAATTGAAAGAAGGGAAAAATAATAAGCACTTGGACTACTAATCAAAGCTTCCTATTTTTCTTTTTTCTTTTTTTTTCTCTCCTCAAGTGAATTCATTTCATAAGCTCAAAATCTCTCTTCACTTTAGAGAAGTTTCCTCCAGGGCTAACAACATGCATTTAGAAAAATAGAAAACACTGTCATTTTAGACAGGGTGATGAAGGCAGACTGGTGAAGAATAAAGAACAATTTCCTATCTGCACCAGTTTAGAAGTAGCAAGGTCACACCAAGAATTACAAAACAAAATAAAAAAAATGATGGATTATAATTACAGAAAATACTATTTCGTTCATTTCAAGTTAAAGAACAAGAACCACTCAATTAATTCAAAAAAAAAAAGAATTCAGAAATCCACTTTTGAATTAAAAAAAAAAAAGTCACCTCTCCGTCAATTCTGTGTAGAACTCAGAGAAGTCCTCCCCAAGTCGATCTGATGGCTGGCCAGTCACAATCTTGTAACCACACAGGCTGTTTGTAGCATTCGGAGCCTTTAAAACAACAAAGATCAAAATACGCATCACAGAGCTGATACATGCAAGAGTATGCTGGAAAATGTAAAATCATGAAACTACAACCTTATGAGCCAAGTGGTGAAACGCATATAACAAACACTCAACGTAAGTAAAGTTCATCTCTTCTCCACTCTTCCTCCGCGGCATGTATTTCTGAGTCAAAAAAAAGAAAAGAAGAAAACATTACTATATGAGACCACAGTCTACATCAACACGTAAGTTTTTGTTATATGCAGAATGTTTAGAAAGGTTTTCACGATGAAATACAGAATGTTTAGAAAGGTTTTCATGATTCAATATGATAAAAAATCCTTCTCATGGACATAAAACTGAAATCTGAGAGAACAAACACACTAGCATTAATGTGTCATTAGAAGTGCATTTGATATAATAATTTCCTTTTTCTTTTGTAATCATGAAAAAAGAAAAGGTCACCTTCAGAAGCTGAACGACAGAAGGGAGAATCTGGCGTGAATCCTGTGGCAATGTAAAAGGTGAAATTTCTGCAAGTGCTTTGAGCAAATCAAGCTTTCGTTCATCGGGCAACTAGCATAGAGAAACATTATTAGAAGGACAAGTTCTTGTCCAAAGGCATATGCAAGAACAACCAAAAAAGGTAAAAAGAATAAAGATATCTAAAGATAATGAAGAAGCAGAAGGTAGCAAAGTACCTTGTCAAAAACAGGTACGATGTGTTTGTTCAAATAATTGAGGAACCTGCTGCTCGATGCACCCCTCTGTGTTCATAAATTAATGGGGACAAGTTGTAAGAGGAAAAGATGCAAAATACACAAAATCCCAGTAATAAGAAATACAGTCCATACCAGGAAAAATGGAAGTGCCATATACAGGCACGATATCAATCTGTCAATATGGTCTGTATCCGAAACCTGTGTTTTGATACCCATTCAAGTCACTTTAAAGAGATTTTTATAACATCAAGGAGAAAAAGAAATATTCGCATATACTATGTGTTTTGAAGTAAAATGACAGCATGCATTGCTAAAAACCATGAAGAATCAAATCCATCACTTACAACTGATTTCTGAAAAAAACATTACAGTTTACAACACCCAGCATATGAAAATATAAGTAGATCACATGTTCAAGCATGCACAAATAAACATTGTACACAACTCATTAGCTGATTAATTAATGGTGGAAAGAGGAAAACACCATAAAACAGCAACCACAAAAGAAGTATGACTAAAACATGAATGAAAATGAGGTAGGAACAAAATACTGTTTTGATTTTGAGAGAAACCTCTAAAATCTGAATCTGTTATAAGAAATATAAAAGATCGTCTTGTCAAACAGCCCTGCTAGGCTATTTGCACTAATTAAAAGTCCTAAACTTATCCTTTTAGAAAAAGAAATCACTAATTCAAAAGTCACAGGCTAATCAAATGACAGCTCGAGAATTCAAATGTCATTGGGATTTCTGATTAAAAGAAATTAATAAGGAAAGTAAGAATATTCTTCCAAAGCTCATGTATCACTTATACTCTCAAGCTTTTGGAGATGGTATTCTTTCCAGCATGTTTAAAGTCTTCTGTTAAGCAGTATAGAATTACTTCTGCAAGCAATTAATTATACTATTCTTGAAAATTTTACATAAGTTACAAATGTAAGGGCTACATCTTCCAGCTTAAAATAGAAAACTATGTGGACCAAACACATCTTAAAATTTCTGGTAGAATTAATCTTATTCAGGGCAATAATAAAGCTTCCAAAGCATATTTCATCAGATTTCCTAACCCATTTATTCTTTAATTTTGACACAAGGAGCATGACCAGAGGCATGAGTGCATGTTACATGCTGTTAGAAGTTACATGGTCCATATAATAGAAGCAAGTTATCTATATATCCACACATACAGGAAATAAGAAAAACAAACAGCCTCCGAATTTGGATTATACCACAAGGCATTATTTAATTGTATCTAATCCCCAATATTCTATGAGTTGGTAGAACAAATCTACTATCACACAAGTTTCTATGGTTGTTTAAGAGCATATTTTGCAGTTATTACATAGGAAGTTGGTGTTTCATATTTCACAATGAAGTACTTAAATTAAGAACGCAGTTCCAACAATCACTTACATGATTCACATCAAATGCTGAATCTAAATCAGCCTGTCCTTCAATTATTTCAACTAGTTCTTTCATGCGTTCTGAAGGCGCTTTGTGTCCAAATATGCCCAAAGTTTTTAAGAAGTCCATAAACATTCTGAACTCTGCTCCAGTTACATCTTCTGAGCTCTAAAAGGAAAAAAACAAACTAGTCATGCATACTGTAATGGAACAGCAGAATTTAAAGTTTCATAGAAATAACTGTAAAGTTATAAATACCTTTTTAATCAAATCAGTTATATGACGCTCCATTTCCTCCTGAGGTCTCAGGAGTTCAGCTTTAAGTGGGAAAACCTGAGAATGGAGTTATTAGTCCTCAATTGCTGGCAAAAGCAAAGCAAAATAACATCATCTCTTACATAGCTTTGGGTAATCTTCTAACCTTATCTCTTACAAAGCTCAGCACTTTCTCACGAATGAGCTCATCTGTGCTTGGTTCTTCAACAGTCCCAATATGCTTGAATAAGGCAGACAGAGATGCTACATAGCAAGAAGATATACAATTTGAGAAAAAACCGAAAGGGTAAAAGAGAATCCACAAAAAAGATGTCTGTCATATGGATAATTAGGAATAGTCAAGCATGTTTTCATTTTCTTTTCTTTTTTTCTCTCCTAGATGAAGGGCAGAAATCTAATAATTCATCCACCTAGAGTACAAACCATCAAAACCAAGATAAACTACCAATTAAGTTCATTAACTATATTTCATATGAAATATGCGCAAACTAGTAACTGAAAAAATTTAAAAACTCATCCTATTAGCAAAAATGCTTCCTAGTACTCCACAGCGTTGTTAACCCAAAACACAAACAAAGAAATCCTTTTAAGAATTCAGGTTGATTCTTCTTCCTAAATGTTCTTCTGGTTCATCCATATCTAATTTCATTTTAATGTGCACCAAACATAGAATTGCAGCTTGAGATGCACTTATTATTAACAAGACTTATTATTAACAAGATGTAATTTAACTTTTCTTCAGTTTGTATTTATCAATTCCCCAAAGTTGGGAAGAAGTCCACAATTCTAAATGGATTTGTCTATATGAAAGAAATGATACAAACAAGCTCGTTTACAAATGTGCTGTTTAATAGCAATAGCAATACCATTTGCAGCTTTTTGAAAACATGATTCACCATTGTCCAGGTCCAATAAGAATAACATTTGCCTAAATCAAAACCATGACATTTCCACCTTCAGGCATCAAAAATAGAAGTCTGAAGCACAATATCTATCAAGTGCTAAATTTTACAAATTCTTATAACTTAAAGGTGCTACAGCAAAGCATGCTACATTTGTTTTGGTTGAAAATCAAAAGCAACCGATGTCACTAAGGGGGAAAAAACAGCAGAATTCTTGTACAAGCATATTATAATTTCCCAAACTTCTGACCTTGTAAGCTGGAACTATACAAGATATGTATCCTAGAGTCCAAAAGATAGTTATTGTATGCTTATTTGCACATTATATGATATGCATCCAGATTATTTAACCTATCTTAAAGATTTACCTTTCACATCCTGCCTCAACAGGGACATAAGGGCTTTATGCACAGCATCCCGCTCCACAATTTCCTCTAAAACCACCAAGAGAAGTCAACAAAAAATACATACTACACCAACAAAAGTCCCCTCTCAAAATTTCTTTTTTTTAAAAAAAAAAGTCTGATTACCAGCTGCAAGGAGTTGCACAAGAATATCCACAATTTTGGACAAATACTCAGGTGTATCCTTGCAGAATAACGGCAGTCCCCTAATCGCTTGCACCCGAACCTGCAAATGACCATTTAACACTTGATTCCGTACAAAAGGTGAAATAGTCCATGATTGCTGGTTTAACTTGCTAAACAAATGCCTAATCAAATTTAATTCTTCAAAACATGAAAGAAAAAAAAAAAAACCTAAACCGTGTTCAAAAGACATAAAAATGAGAATTAATAGAAATAAAAGTTTGTAAATTATATGAGATGCACTAACCGCGAGCTCTTCTTGTTCAATCAAATCGATTTGCGTCTCGACAGCTTGACTGGAAAGCTCGGGGAAGAACTTGAAGAACCTAGGGATTAGCTGTGCCGCCAATTGCTTCGCTTTGATGCTCGTTTTAGCTGCATCCATAATCCCCTGGTAATCCTTCACATTCTACAATAATTAAACAAGAAAAAAAAAAGCATGTTAAAATCACATAATTATAAAATGATTTAAAACAAGGGAAATTCAAAAATAAATAAATAAAAATAAAACTCTAGGGTTCACCTGAGACTTGTCTTTGGACTCACTGAGACGCTCGCCAAACTCGTAAAGTTTCTCGATATGGCTGCCGTCGGCGGCGATGTTGGTGATGGTGGAGTCGGTCATTTGAAGAGAAACTGAGAGAGAGATTCAAAAATTGTTCAGAAGAAAGAAAAAGACTAGTTCTAGTATTTCATTGGATTTATTTTTCATATTTAAATAACTGAAGAAAGAAAGAAAGAATAATAATTTTAAGTTTTAAGAGATGGAGACCTACAGATTAAAGGAGTTTCAGTTACTAGAAGAGTAGAGTGAGAGTGGAAGAGAGCTTCCAAGGATGGTTTCGTTTTGATTGATTGATAAGAGAAAGAAAGATAGAAGAAAGACCTTCATCGATCACGCGGAGTCTGCAGGTGTTATCTTCCGAACTTCAACGGCGTCGTTTGCTTGGATCCCCTCTCACGCTTGGTTTTGCTCTCTCTTGTCATCTTGCTTTCTTGTACGTTTCAAAATTCAAAATTATTTTTAAAAAGTTTTGAAATTTTAAAAAAAAAATTATTTTTTATATTTTTAAATTATTTTATATTATTCTCAAAAATAAATTTAAAAAAATATTTTAATATATTTTTTTAAATAAAAATACTTTAAAAAATAACTATTATTATAAATTTATAATACTAAAAAGGGCTATATAATATGTTTATTTAGTATTTCAACAAGTTTAAACTTTTTAAAAAATATAGTTGAAATTCTGAAATAAACACACTGTAAAATATTTTTAAAAAAATTATTTTTTTATTTTTTTGATAATTTTAATTTTTAATTAAAAAATAATATTTTCAAATATTTTCAAATAAAAAAATTTAAAAAAATAACCATTACTTCAGTATCAAATACTATTTTAAAAAGTATTTAGATAACCATTACTCCGGTATCAAATACTATTTTAAAAAGTATTTAGCATAATTTTTGCTTCTGTATTTAGGTATATTTTTAAAAGCATTTGCTTGAAAAAGATATTAAACTGATTTTTTTTAGTGTTTTTTATGATTTTGATATACTAATATAAAAAATAAAATAAAAAACTAAAAAGAATTTATTTTGATATATTTTAAAAAAAAAATATTTTTAAAAATATTATGCATTATTATTTCAAATATTTTCCTAAACATTTTCTTAAAACATAAGATATATAGATTCTTATATTTGAAACTGACATCTCCTAATGAAAGTTATTATTTCTATTTTGTTTTGATTAGAATAATTAATAAATCTAGTTTTATTTCAAAAAATAAATTAAAATAAAATAAATTTTACTTCATTTAGAATCTTAAATCATTCTAGATTTTCCATTTAAATTTTAGCTAAGATATTTTAAATTTACTGTCCATTCTGAAACTTATGTCCAAGAGATGGTTGCTACTTTGATATGTTGTTTATAGGTTGCAATTTTTTATCCTTATGTTATTTTAACCTCGTATTTCTGGTTTGTTTATAAATATGATAATAGTTATAATTTAAAGTATTTTTTATTTAAAAATATATTAAAATAACATTTTTATTTTAAAAAATTTATTTTTAATATTAATATATCAAAATAATCTAAAAATATTAATTTTAAATAAAAATTTAAATTTAAAAAAAAAAAAACACAGTTTAAACTATCATTCTCAAACATACCTTTAATAACACACAGTTTAATCTATCATTCTCAAACATACCTTTAATAACATACGTGTTCTTTATTTTTTATACCTTAATGAGCTATTTTCATTCTGAAAGAGTTCTCGTAACATTATTTTTTATGCTGGCTAGGGGTAATGTTGAGCCATATGAAGTTTTTGCTCCATGCATCATATATTATATATTAAAACATCTGCTCATGCTAAAGAATTTGTGAAGGCTAACACCATTCAGTTGATTTTCCTTTGAGAATGATCTATAATATTAACCAGGAAATAAGGAAGTGTAGTCTGGTTCGTGATGTAATTGAGAATAACATAGCGATTATATAGTTTAAAATATTTTTTTATAAATATATTAAAATGATATTTTAAAAAAATAATTATTTTTAATCCAAGCACATTAAATCAATATAAAAAAAATATTATAAAATGACAACCTTCTCCTCGCTCATGGTTATTCCTTGATTTTGACTTCATAATTTGAATGTAAATTGTTTAGATTAGTTTTGTAATTTGAATTAGGTTTAGGAACTAATTTAAGTTTTTTTTATCAGGAAATGAAGCAGTAGGTGGGCAGTGGGCTATTTCACACTTTTTAAATTAGAATATTGCATTTAAAGGTCCTCCACTTCATCTACATCATCATCTAAGCTTGGAGGGTTTTCTTTTTTGAAGGTCATTTATGATCATAAATTTAGATATATTATATGAAGTATCGGTCTAATGGTTAAGATATTGTTATATTTATATAAAAATATAAATATAAATTTAATTTTTAATAAATATATTTATTAAAAGAAACAACCAAAAATCTTGAATGAAATTAATTTATTTTTTAAAGAGAATATTAAGATATCCAGGTAAAAATAAAAAACAAATTATAAAATTACTATGGTAGAGATTTGAATTCTCATTCTCATAGAATGACGCTGTATAAAGAGTTTACTTAACACAACATTAATATGTTATTAGCTTAATTTAACTATATGGTTAATCAATTTTATTGGATGGTTATATATTTGAATTTTTTTAGTTTGAAGTTATTTATTTACAGGACATTAGCATGTCTTGAACACTTATTATAATGAGAAATAAAAAGGTTTTATATTTATCATTTTTTACTTTTTATTCCGAAGTTAGTCTATAATATTAAAAATAAATGAAGTTTAGGCTTAGCTTATTTATACGTACAATTTAATTTAATTGAGACAGCTTAAGCTTCACTTGTCATAAACACACGCAGAATTTAAAGTTTAGATTTATTTTATGTTTTTGGAATTAGATTCTATTTGGTATAAGTTTTGTAAATTGAATTCAATTACTTTTTAAATTTTTTAAACAAAAAAGTCATAAATATGTTTTTTACTCAAAAAATAGTTACAGAGTTAATTCAAACTTTTACTTTAATCAAAAGTTAGAATTTTTAAACTCTAACTTATTGATTTTAACTTACACTACTTTCTTAAAAAAAAAAAAAGGAGAAGTTCATTTGATTAAATTTTAGCAAAACATACTTTTTAATTTAACTTTTTTTTCATAAGTTATTTATTGAAAATAACATTTAATTATTATTTAAATTCAAAAGTCATTTTTTTTAATCATGAGAAAATCTTAGATAAGTTTGAGCAAAAATGAAAATTTCCAAATTTTTTGTTTCTTCTAAGGTTTATCTCTCTTTTTATAATATTCTTTTAAGTTTTTTTTTTCTATATTTGATTTCTATACACTTAAACTTATTTTGATTGAAATCTTTTATATATATAAAAAAAAAAAACTCAAATCTAACAGGCAAATAAAAAACCCCTAAAAAATCTATATAAAAACCCAATTAAAAAAAATATTCACATAGATTAGGGCTACCAAACCCAAGCATAATTACTACCAAGGTATATGGGCTCAAATATGATATCATGAACCCATGTTAAGCAAATATTTAGACTAGCATGTAACTCGGCACCTATGTGAGCTCACGTTACCATCTTTTAACCCAACATGTTTTAGTTTTGGCAGTGCACCTAGTGTTAGAAAATTATATAAATTATATCTTGAAATCTCACTTAATAATTTAAGTTATTAAGTTGAGATGGTTCTTTAACATGGTATTAAAACTTTAATGTCGATATGGTTACGAATTTAAATCTCATCATCCTTATTATTTTATCTAATTAAACGTGGAATATGCTTAACAAAATAAAATTTTTGATTTAAACTATATGGATTATTTTGATTATAAGTTTATTATTATCATAAAAGTAAATGTATTCAAGAGTTATATGGACATAACACATATTAATGAAGTAAGTTTGGTGTTTGAAATTTATCATTTTAGAAGCCAATGGAAGCGAAATAATTTGTTAATTGTTATTTCTCATATAAATTTTAAGATGAGAGGATTGAAATTATTGTTTAAAATTGTTATCCTCCTAGGGCAAAGAAAAAAAAAGGGTTAAAAAGTATTGATTGAATATCTACAATATCGAGGTTAAAGTAATTTAAACTTGATGACAAGTTCTTTTAACCCAAAAGATTGATGTATGAGGTTTTTAAGGAAAATTATTTTCTTTTAATTATTTTATTTTTTTCTATTAATGTAGGAAATTAAAAAATATGCTTAATTTTTTTTACCTAATCTATTTAAGACTTTTATTATCTTTTCCTTTATTTTCAAATCTCTTAGTTTGTTTAGGTTAATTTTAAGTTTATTTAAGAGTTGTAAACCTTTTAGTGAGATAGACTACTTAAAAATAAATATTCAATAATAAAATTATAAATTAGAGTTTTTATGGAATCTTTTATTTTAAAAAAATTAATATTTTTTAATTGTTATCTTCCTTATGTTGTTTCTATTTATGTTAATTGGTATTAAAGTTCTGCTTCAAGTATGAATATTAACAATGCACTTAATTATATGGTATTTTTAAAAACTTTTCATTTATAATTTAGTTTTTTATATATTTTTTTAGGGTTCATATCACCAATTAAATTCACTTTGAAAGATCCATCAAATGATTTTTAGTAAAATTTCACAAAAATCAAACTTCATTTGAGGAAGATACATCAAATGACTTGAATTATTACATTTTCTTTTTTATTTCTTACCAATTTAACTTATAATATGTTTGGGAATGTGATGCAAATTGTGTTCCCAAAAAGTTCAATTTTGTTTTATAAAAATTCAATTTTTTTATATGTTTTAGATCTTTTTGATGTGTTGATTTTAAAAATTATTTTAAAAAAATAAAAAATTATTTTGATGCATTTCGGCACAAAAAATCATTGAAAAGCAACCGCAACCACACTCCCAAACAGGCCTTCTGATTTTCTTCTGATTTTTATTAAAAATATCAAATCATTCCTTATTTATAAAGACATGTGAGGAAGTAATCTTTGTTTTTTAATTATTTCAAGTTCTATAGTTTTTTATTAAATATAAATAAGTCATAACTAGCACCAAACATCTATTTTTAGTATATTTTTTAAAATAATTTTTATTTCATAACATAAAATATATACAAATGTAAAAAGTCATTTTATATTTAGTTATATCATATTTGTAGTTAATATCAAAACATGGCAAAGGTAGCAATGAAAGTCTAAAATAACATTTAAAAAGAAGTAAATTTTGTCTTAATTGAAAATTTCATACTTTAAAAAATTAATCTCCAACACTTTAAAAGTTTGGCAACAAATATCAAA